CACACAGTGTATGTATTGTTCCCGTTGCTTTTGGACAGATGATCACAAGCGAGTGTAAAAGACTACGCAGAAATTCTTACAAAAGCACGGGAACCTAGAACAATGTTTTGTATTTTAAAAAAAATTAATAAAAAAGAAACAGTTATTATATTGAAATCTTTTTATTTACTACGGTCACCTATATCAAATTCAACAGATCAATTTGCCGTCTGAAGAAGAAAGGTAATCAAATTTATTATTAATTTATACGTGTGAATCGAATTTATATAATTAGGCCCACCCCGCCATATTTTTGAATTACAACAGTTGATTACTAATTTTTATCGTGTAGCTTAAATTTTGCATATGCTTTCAAATATTATAACTGAAACGCATACACAAAAAGGTTATATAGGTATTGGAATTTTATCATGCCGTGGGCATTAGATGTAAAAAATTAAATACCCACACTTTAAAACCCTTTAAAAGCACAATTTTTAACAATCCTTTTCAATCAATAATAATAATAGTTAAGGAGGTAGGTCACATAAAATTGTATAATGCGTATCTGTACGCAACGTTAAAACATGGCTGATGAAATACGATACTGAACAATTTAAGATCAAATTTTGACGAAAATTCTAATAATTACGATATTTCGAAACTTGTATAACTTAACTTTGATCAAAATCGTTTTACGTTAGCAATGGTTTATCGTTGCTTAAAGATATTAATTAAATAATTTTATGTAATATAACTTTCCCAACTTTCCAACCTAATTAAATATTCAAGCATTTCAATTCGGTCAAACAATATTTTATTCATATTAAACCAAATAAAAACCTAAAAAAACTCGAAAATTTCATAACGCCTCTGAATAGATCAATAATTTCCAGAATGTCATCTAGAAAAGGCCAACTAAATTATTTTGTAAAAATGTTATGTTTTTACTATTATATTTAATCTAATTTAGATTAAAGCAACATAATCAGAAAATATAAGTCGATTAAGAGGTGGACAATTCGGCCGGCTATGTATTAGGTATGGTCCATGTTCTGGCACTAGCACCAGCATCTGCGCTTGAGTCAGAACTCCCATTTTCTTACTACTCCAGTGCTCGTATAAACGTATTTTTTTAGTCCGTGGATATTATTATGCGATTTCTTTAAAAAATATAAAAAAAAAAATTGCAATAAATCCATGTATTGCATATAGATTTATATCCTAAAGCTTACAACATTGAACGCCCAGCACGATCCACATTTATTCGTTTGTATTTTGACAAGAGTCACTTATCCTTCCGTCCTCTAGTTGACTGAACTAGGGATAATCACATTTTCAGAACTAATGATAGTCACATAATCACTATCCAAATCATTTGTTTTCAATTATCTATGAAAGCTCAACAATTTCCAGAATGTCATCTAGAAAAGTCTAATATAATCATTTTGTAAA